ACGGCTTTGTTGAAGAGGTACGCGACCTGGCTTAGATCCGAACTGTCGCCTACCAGTAGAGGAAAGTTCAATACCACAACACAAGAGTCAAAACACATTGCTTTCATGTTGAAAAACGCGTGCTGAGGAAGGTTATGGTACATGACCCAAGCAACGGAAAGCTCAGTCCTAACTGGAAAGGTCCTTACAAGGTGACTAAGGTACTAGGATTGGGGACTTGCAAGCTCAAAATTCTCGAAGAGAGGTAGGTCCCCTGTATGTAGAATTCCGTCAACCAACGAAGGTATTACATTTGAAGTTCCGAGATCCTAAGTTAAAACATGGTAATTTTCACCAAGTGTCATAAGAAACAACTTGTCGATCTCGAGCTCTAACCTATGTGACCACCCATTCATGTGATTTGGTCCGACCGATCCAACCAATCCACTATTAGCACCTTAGTTCATTATAAACGAGATCAACCCACTATGCGCACTTTGTCACATATAAGCACCTCGATACCATTTAATTACTTAGCTAAATCCCACTCTCTTTTATGACTTAAAAAAACATAGAAATGTGTAAGAAAAGTAAATCAACACGTTGAAGTAAAGAGATGCTCCATTACTTAACCAAAAAGAGAGGGTACATCGCTATAGTAAAAGAAAAAGAAGAAGAGGAAACAATAGAAAGCAAAAAACTGAGCTTGCAAGCTCGGGATACATCATTATGTATAGGAGGTCCAAGAAAAGAGGCTGAATCATCACTCTTGACTGGGCAACAGCTCGTCCTTAGTAGATTGCATCTCTTCATCCTAGGCATCACCTCTGCCCTGAACATCCCCTTTCGAGCCAACCTCTTTCTCAACCTACTCAAGCATCTCCTTCAGTACATTTGAGCACTTGACCTTCGTTGTGTCAAGCTTTGGGAACATTGAGGAGACGAGGCGACGGCGTAAGGTAAGGTATTTCTTGATACCATGAGCCTTGGCCCAACATAACTCTTTAACAAACTTCGACCTCCGCTCGACAAGCTCGGCTTCCTTATGTTGTAGTTCATTGGTGAGGTGATTGACCTTCTTGGATAACCTTTCCTTCTTAGTCTGCTCGTGTGCCAACTTGGCCTTAATCTCCTCGATGTGCATCACCACCATCCCCAAGCACTCATCTCGGTTCTCCACGTCCTTCTATAGAAAGTTGCATTGATGATAGTATGCCTCGGCTTGGCCCATCAAGGTGTGTGTGAGAGTGTTGGATTGTGAAAGAAAATAAGCTCCCGATTAGTACAGCCATAATAAAAGATAAAATGAGCGGACATCGGGACAACAAATACTCACTGTGACAAGGTACCAGAGCACTTTACCCCTGATGGTTGTAGTATGTTGGTGGTCGTGCTCCTCCACCTCCTTGGGGAATATGATTGACTTACTCAATTGAAGGGAAGTCCTTCGAGTCAAGGACGGTGTACTTCTCCCCAATACTGACCTCTAAAGTGGCGGGTGTGGGAAGGCACAACTCTGTTGCCTAGATGTTCTCGAACTTTGCATTAGCTCCCCCCTGGGGTTCATCTTCCACGAGGTTGATGACCTCAATCTGCTCATGCTCCGCCAACCTAGGCTCCTCAGCCTCCTCAGTTCTGGAAGTGTCCTGATCTGACATCTTCCTTTTATTAGTTTTTCTCTTCATAAGACCAAACAACTTAGTGACATTGACTCCTAATCCTGACATACTTCTTGCATAGATAAAAAGAAGAAAAGAGCATAAGTTGAATTGTTGAAGTGGTAAACCAAACATAGCAAAACCACTAAGTACAAAAAGGACAAACCTACCCAGAGGACTAAGCTTGGCTTAGATCAATACCTCCTTAGCCAGGAACTTACAGACCAACGACTTCCTAGTGACTAGGATCAACACTCTTTCCTGTAGGTGTTCATTTAAGGCTGAGCCATCCTCGATGTCCCTGATGGTCATCTTCCACTCCGACGTGAAGAGCCACCTACCACCCACAAAAAGGAAGAAATATATCATCCTCTAGGCTGTCACCTTGGAGGGGAAGCCACCCAGTAGTTTACAACGAGGTTGATAGGACAAGTAAAAGTTGGAATCCTCATTGGCGTTCCGTTTCAATTGGCATAGGCCAACAAAGTTTTGAATGGTTGGAATGAACTCAAAATGGTGATAGAAGGAGATGGTGCCGACTAGGGTTTTGATGGAATTAGGGTGGAGTTGAGCCAAGTTGATGTCGTAATAGTTCATGACCTCAGGGATGAAGGGGTGAAGAGGGAACTTGAGCCCAGCCTTCAAAGCCTCCTCGAGGACATAGAGCTCATCTTTCTCGTGGTCCTAGGGAATTTTCTTGGGGATGGGAAGGTTAAGACCGACCTGGTCGAGGATCCTATTCCAGGCATCTAGATGAAGTATATCCTTGGCAGTTAACTTAGTCAAGCCAAACTCCATATGGGTTTTGGGTTGCCAACTTGAGGTTGAGGCCCCTATATGAGAGCCTCGCCTTTCCTGTGCCAATGACCCTTTCTTGACATTAACAGCCCCCGTTCCTTTCCCTTAGACACAATACCAGACATAATTTAAAGGCGAATAGGAAAAGGAAAAAAAAAAGGAGAGGACTCACCACACTACTTAGAAAATTGACCTCGCTGACCTCAACCACGCCAAGCTCACCAACCAGAATTCACTTTGACCTCACTCGAAGTTTAGAAGAAACTGCAAATGGGACCCCCTAAAGGCCCCTATATACAGATGGGGAACCCGACCTCTGAAGGTCAAGATCGATTCAATCCAACGGCTCAGAAGGGTGCAATAGCTTGTCTCCCGAGACCCAAAAATGAATTTAGCATGACTTTTTGACATTCATGGAGCCTAATTACCACATGTCATCTGTGTGTGCCCGAGATGCGACTTGTCAAACAGCTCATGTTGGGCAAACTTGTTCGATCTTGAACTGTGACCCGATGAAGAACCGGCATTAGGTGTTAGGCCATGATCGCTCTGAATTGAGCTACTCCCTTCGCCGAGCTTGGCACCTTGGGCTCGGGAACGGGGACAATTAATGAGGGGTAATCTGGTCATCTGGTCACATAGTGCCATGTGACGAGTCGGAACTATTTAATGACTCCTTGGTGCCATGTAGGGGTAGGTTGCACTCAACTAGATTTGCCTAAGCCAACCAGCCCAACCTACATCTCAACTGATGGAAAGACTGACGGGTTACTCCATAGCTTAGTAGAGCACATCACCTCAAAAGAACAAGCCAGTGACTTCGGGAGTTGGCTTGACATCCCCAACCTGGGCAAACAACAACTTGAGTAGCTAGTTGACCACTGGGGTACCGACCTATGTGGTGGGCTGTCCTTATCCAATTAGCACGACTATTAGTTCTAATACAGACGACGACACGTCACCCACCTAGCAGTAGGAGCGAGCATGGGTCAGTTTGGTTCAGTTTCATGGCAAAAGCTGAGTTTGTCAAAGAAATAATACCAAAAAGAAGGGTTGCCACTACTAGCCTACATTTATCGGAGATTGTTGGAGAAGAAAACGATAGGTGCTGATCCGTTGCTAACTTGAGATGAGAGATGAATGCTGAGAATGAGAAGTGAGAAATGAGAACATGATGAGCAAAGTGGGAAAGGGGGAAGTAGGGCTTGGGTAGGGTTTTGGGAGTTTAGAAATTAGAACGATTAGGAAAGGATGAATATATATTATAATAAATAATATATTTTATTCTATATGAAATAGTTAAGTCAGGCTTAGTCTTGGGCCAGGCCTTTTTGACAATTCCCAAGCCAGGCCCGAAAATCAATTAGGCTTGGTGTTTTGGGCCCAAGGTCAAGCCCGTGGGCGTAAGAACATGTCCAAGCCCGACTAGGGAGTGGGTTGGGCTAAGTCGGGCTGTTGGGCTACCCAATCCATGAACAGGTCTAGTGGCAGCCAACTAACCAAAGGATCATTTTGTCATTTTTTAAAAGGTCAAGCGCACTAAGTAGGTTTTGAAACTTAAGGTCCATTTGGTTCATAATTGGAATCAGAATTGAAATCCTTTATAATCAAAATTAGAATGGTCCATTCCCCCCACCAATTTGGTTTAGACTGGCAACAAAATCAAAACCAGAATTGGCCGGAGTGGATTTTCGATCCCAACTCCCAAGGGAGGGGAGGGAATGGCCATTCCAATAGGAATAAGAATTGGATTCCAATTCTTCCCAACCAAACAATTGGAATTGGAATCCAGACCCCTATTCCCGCAAATGGCCCTTCAATAGGGGTGACAATGGATAAGATCATGATCCGATCCGATCTAAGATCCAGTCCTCTTTGGTCGAATTCGGATCACCCCCAGTTCGGTTCTTTGGATCAGATCAGATATTAGGATTTGATTAGAAGTTGGATCAAATTCAGGTCACCCCCTATATATATATATATATATATAATACACACACACACACACACACATATATATATATATATATATATATATATATATATATTATTTATATTGTATTTTTGTAAATCTGTTATATTATTTATTTTTTATAAAAAACATGCATATATATAATAATAATAATAATTAAAAAATATTTGAGTTTTTTGTTTATCTTTATTTAAATTGGTATATTTTATTTTTCTTTTAATAATTTGTTAATTTTTAAAGAAAACAAATCCGATCGGATTGCATCCAAATATCTAATTTCCTGATCCGGTTCAAATTCAGATCCAGGTCTATCAGATCCGGTTGGATCTTCCGATCGAGTCGGATCTGCAATAAACAGTGTTGGATCGGATTCGGATATACCTATTTCGAATCCGATCCGACCCGTTCCGTTTGCATCCTTATCGCTCAATTTATTGTCAGATAGTTTAGGGTAAGTTATTAGCCATTTTAATTTTTCAGCCAACAATTAACGGTCCAGATCTTCTAGCTTTGAACATCTGAATTTTTTGTTTACCGTTTTTTAAATTGGTTTACAATGCCCCCCCACCACCCTCCGAGTCCCTCCCTCAGCTTACACACAGTCCATGTAAAGCGTATTTGTGCCATTCTTCATACTTTTATAGTTTTATACATCTTAAGCAAAGAGTGTAAAATTTTATAGAAATTCAGACGCAACCATGGCCAAATTCCTGAAACCCATCTTTCCATTTCTCTGCCTCTGCACAATATTCATACCTGTGCTGCCCCAATTGCAAAATCCACGGCAACAAGGTAAGCCGGGTTCTCTGATCAAATGGATATTCTGTATCATCGGAAACCCACTTCCAAAGCATCTCAGCTTTCTTGATTAAATGGAGTTTCCTCACCTTTCTTTTCTTGTTCTTGCAGGCCCAGCGTACTTACATTTTACCTTCAACGCAACAGAGTTCCTGGTGGAGGAAGAATACGACTACATAATTGTCGGAGGAGGCACGGCCGGCTGCCCCTTGGCGGCCACATTGTCTGAAAAGTACAAAGTCTTGTTACTGGAAAGAGGAGGGCATAGCTATGGAGCCCCAAACCTCATGACCCAAGAAGGGTTTTTGTCCGCGCTCACCCAGGTCGACGCCCACGAATCCCCGGTTCAGACTTTCACTTCTGAAGATGGCGTGCCTAATGCCAGAGGCAGAGTTCTTGGGGGCAGCAGCGCCATTAACGCCGGATTCTACAGCCGAGCAGATGACGAATTTTTCCGTCAATCTGGGGTCCATTGGGACGTGCGGCTCGTGAATAAATCTTTCCAGTGGGTGGAGCGTGCTGTTGTCTTCCGCCCGGTATTAAGGGGCTGGCAATCAGCCGTCCGTGATGGACTTCTTGAAGCCAATGTTAGGCCCTATAATGGGTATAATGTTGATCATGTCATCGGAACAAAGATCGGTGGTTCCACCTTTGACAGCTCCGGCCGGAGACACAGCGCCGCAGATCTACTGGACTACGCCACTCCGTCCAACATTAGAGTCGCTCTCTACGCTAGCGTCGAGAGGATCCTTCTGAGCTCTGTCTCTGCTGGTAATCTCTCTCTCTGGTAAAGAAAGAAAATAACTGCCGATTTAACTAACAAACAAACTAACAATTCGGGTTCGTTGGTTGGTTGGTTTTCCCGCCGGTGCACCAGGATCTGGAAGCAAGAAACAAGCGGCGATTGGCGTCATTTATCGGGATAAAGTTGGGCGGCACCACCATGCCATGATACGCAGCGGAGGGGAGGTGATAGTCTCCGCCGGGGCCATCGGAAGTCCGCAGCTTCTGCTACTCAGCGGCATTGGTCCTCGGCCCTACCTTTCATCATGGGGCATCCCTGTCGCTCACCACCTACCTTATGTGGGTCAGTTCATGTACGACAACCCTCGTAACGGTATCTCCATTGCGCCACCAACCCCACTCGATCAATCCCTCATACAGGTTGTGGGTATCACCAACTCGGGTACCTACATCGAAGCAGCATCGAACATCATCCCTTTCGCCTCCCCACCTCGCTCTGTTTTCATTCGGAACCCATATTCTCCTCTCTATTTCACGGTTGCTACCCTTATGGAGAAGATTGCAGGGCCCCTTTCAACTGGGTCGCTTCGACTGGCTTCCACTGATGTTCGGGTGACTCCAGAGGTGCGCTTCAACTACTTCAGCAATCCAATGGACCTGGCGCGGTGTGTACAGGGGATGAGGACGATAGGAGAGGTGTTAAGGGGGCGATCAATGGAAGAATTTAAGTWCAGGGAGTGGTTCGGTGGGCGGGACTTTAGGTTTGTAGGGCCAGCACTGCCATTGAATTTGTCGAATGATGTACTGATGGCTGATTTCTGTCGCCGGACTGTCACAACCATATGGCACTACCATGGCGGGTGCTTGGTGGGGAAGGTTGTTGATCATCAGTACCGAGTTATTGGCTTGGATTCGCTGCGGGTGGTCGATGGTTCCACCCTCACAGTTTCTCCAGGGACCAATCCACAAGCAACACTGATGATGATAGGGCGGTAAGTAACTGAATTGACTGTAAATATAGCCTATCATCATCTATAATGTTTTTTCTGATAAACATGCTGACATATTTTTATTTTGGTAGGTACATAGGCTTGAAGATGATCAAAGACAGAAATGAAATAAATGGTAGTGATCGGTAAGGTGGTGATACTGTTTATAAGCAGCTTGGGTTGGGTTAGAAAGAAGAAATTTGTTCTACAGCCGCAGTTCCTATGTGGACAGTCATGACTTTTTTCCTTTCATTTTTTTATATTGTAAATTTCAGTGATATATACAAAGCTTCAAATTGTGTTTCCACCACAAGGATCTGAAAAAGGGATTTCTTTTTTTTTTTTTTATGTAGCAGCAGATCAGAAAGGGCATGTTGAAGTAATAGCTCAAAGGATTTTCTGTTCTTATTGGATTTATTGAAAGTTAAAGCAGAAAAGAATCAATTTAGTCTCACATTTGCTATCTATGTGTAAGGCAGTCAAAAACCCTTTAATGAAGCACGCGTAAGGAAAAAGAAATTAGTTGAAGGGGTTAGAGGGCTAGAGGCAGTAAAAAAAAATGGTGGTCTGTAGTATAAAATGATTTTAAGAAATTGGAAGGGTTTTTAGGCTATCCATTCATATATGAGGTGAATATTTAGAAAGTAAATATTTTGATCAAAAGTTACTAAATGGGTATTTTGAATATTTGAGGATTCTAAAGAAAGTACAGGAAAGGTGATTAGGATGAAATTTCAGCAGCAACCAAGAGAGATTTCAGCAAGGGTGATATTATCCTTGTGTTTGTAACTACTAAAAAAAACTTTCGGAAATACAAATACATTAATTACATAATTAATACATTTCTTTCCAAGGATACATAGATCGGCTAACTCTGTAACTAAAAAAAAGATTCTATCTCAAGTCGTGTTGTTATTTGTTAATGTAAATTTCCTATTAAATACTAACTGGTTCTTTAATTTCAGAGTTAATGCACATGCACTGATAAAATTCGTTTCTTTCTGAAGTTATTTCAATTCCTCTATTTGTACAAGTGGCCAATAGCCACAAACAGAAAACAATGGCCCGTTGGGGAGGGTTTGTGCGTTGAGTCTGGATTTCCTATCACGTAACATCGTAGTAATCATCCTCTTACATGTTGTAATGCAATGGAGATACCGTTTTGTGGATAGAATTTTTGTAGGTAAGAGATCTGGAGTCTTTAATTTGTGTTAATTGAGCAGTATTAACTGAATTTGTTAAGGCAGGAAAGCCCTCTTAAACGGGAACTAAATTTGTTAAGAGATGCCCACCCAGAGCCATCAATAGATCGGACCATATTTAATAAATTATCATATTGTTGGATTGGATTAATAACAAATTGGATCGCCTTCAAAAAATGAAAATAAACAAATTGGATCAAGAAAAACAATCCAATCCAATATTCGACTACAAAGTACAAACCCATAAAACTGTTAAAAATGGTTATAAACTCATATCAACTGTTACAAACCATTATTCGACTGTTACACATCCATATTCAACTTTTACAAACCATTACAAATACATATTCAGCCATTTTATAATCTATACTTAATGGCACAATTTGTTACAAATCCATACGTTATCATTATCTTTTTCATGGCCCCTGGAGTGAGCATATTCGCTCAACAATCAAACTCTTAGCTCAGAGGAGAAGAGCTAAACCGTTACAAATCCATATTCAAACCAATTTGGATCTCCTACGCACAAGAACAAAAATGCTCGATATTTTTATTATCAAGTTTTGGACGACTTTGTTAGTCATCCACTTGTGGCATTTTTAATGTACATGCTGTACAAATAATTATGCATATAATAGAAATTTAAAATTTTGATGAGAGAGATTTGGTTTTGTTTACATTTATTGAATAAATGTTTGTATCTTATTTGTTGATGAAATCGAGAAAGGTAATAATTATAACTGTTTATGACAACAAAGCACCACTAAGCGTCATTAGGCTCTACATCAGCATAACAATAAAAAACTTTTGACCATTTGTAAAAGCTTTAAAAAATAACTTCCACAAATGGTTAGCATGCACAAAAACCAAAGTCCACTTTTGTCATTTTCGATGCATACAGAATAACAAGAGAGAGAAACTAATGAAGTGGTGCCTATGTGGCAGCGTTTATTGAATAAATGCCCATAAAACCAAACAACCGGAGTCATTCTGAGTCTGGACCTCCTGGCCACACAAACTTTGCTCACGTCTACCCATATAACATCGCAGCCACATATGAAAAACATCTCATCATCTTACATAGTATTATGCAGGGGAAGACGCTCCCAATTCATGGGAGAAGTGTATTGTGGGCAGACGTGGGCAGAAGATCCAGATTCATTCTTTGGTCATGTATCTTGACTTGGTTGGCCAGCTTTTGTAGGAGGTAGACTTATCAATAACCCTACCCACACCTACCCACAGGACATCACAACCACACTTTAGGAACATTTCTTCTATTTGTATAGTATTATCATGTATAGAGAGATGTTCTCAATGCATGGCTAGCTGTACTATCACGTGGATAGGGTTCTTGTGGGTAGGAAATCCTGATTACTCTTTAATATTGGTTAAGTATTAATAATAGCTAATTAACACAAACTTAGTTTTTCCTTGTTTTAATTTCTGTTTAGAAGAAACCAAGTAGCTTGTTATAGAATTTGAACAAAAAATTTTTGGTTTTGATCCTCACAGAATTGTCCTCACATCCTTTTGCAGCCGTGCATTTGAAGCATCCGAACTCGCTATTCATCCAAAACTATGCCCTTTTTAATGTTACAAAAGTTGAAATTTCGAGGGCATTTTAGTCTTAAAAAATAAATTATTAACAGTCAAATTCCCACCTCTCCCATCTAATTAATTAGATCGGTTTATGTATTTCCGGTTATTAATTAGCTGGTATTTATATCTTATTTACTCCCTTCTGACACTATATTATAAGATAAGCTCTGAAACCCAGTTCTAACGTTCAAAGGCCTAAAGCAAATTTTCACACGCATGGCCATTCACAGAGCCTCTGTGCATTCAATCCATTGGCGTTGTCTGCTGCTTCTGCTCCTGCTAACATGCGTGTCTACAGCTGCAATGAAAACCCCAAGACTCCGCGTCATGAGAAGAATGAAGGATCGGAAGGTGGGTGACATGGCCGGAACTCCCTCTCCTAAGGCGGACTACAACGTTTATTACTACAATCAAACGCTCGACCACTTCAACTACAGGCCGGAGAGTTACACAACCTTTCAACAGAAATATGTGATTAACTCCAACTACTGGGGTGGTGCAAATTCCAGCGCTCCCATCTTTGTCTACCTTGGAGATGAATCGGCTATAGATGACGATATTAGAACTACAGGGTTCTTGTCCGAAAATGCCCCCAAGTTTAATGCCCTTATAGTATTTATAGAGGTATAGGAAAACGAAAATACATTTCTTATTAATTTTGATGAATCTAATATAGTATTTTGGGGTAGAGATGCAAATGGATTCAATTTAATCCGATTTGAATATGAACCATGGTTCAAATTCGGATATTGATTGATTTGATAATTTTTTATCCATTTAATTTATCTATTTAACTGTATATATAGATGGCCAATACCATACTGGATTTAGATAAAATTATTTTGTGGGATTTTGGATTTAGACACCTATTTTTTATTTAAAGAATACATTTTTTTATTTTGTAAATTTATGCTAATTTAATACCGATTTACTGATATTGAATTCGAATCTATGTTGGATCGGATTCAACTCTCCCATATTATTAATGGGTTGGATTTGAGTATTAGTCCTTCCATTCTGTTTGCATCCTTTTTGGGATTGGGCCGATTGGCAAATCAGATTTATTAATCTTATTTCCTATTTTTCTATATATTATAATTCTTTTTCCATCTGGGTCTCTCTTTCCTTTATGAATATGCCACTAAGTTTAATGTCCTTTAGTATTTATAGAGGTGTAGGTAAAAATACACTTCTTATGAGTCTTGATGGACCTAGCATTTTGAGGTAAGGATGCAAATGGATTTAATTAATCCGATTTGGATATGAATTATTTGTTTGTTAATGGGTTTGAATTCGGATATTAATTGATTTGATACGCTTTGATCCATCCAATCTATTTATCTATCTATTTAAATACTGTTTAGTATCAGAGTTATTCATTATAATTTTACTTGTTAATTTAATCCGATTTGAATATGAATCATTTGTTTGTGAATGGGCTTGAATTGGGATATTGCTTGATTTGATAGTCTTTGATCATCTAATCTATCTATCTATATCTATATAATTTTATGGGATTTTGGAATTAAACAAACCTATTTTTTATTTAAAGAATATATTTTTTGTAAATTTATGCTAATTTAATACAGATTTTCTGATATTGAATTTGAATCTATATTTTATATATCAACCAGATATTGGATCTGTTTTGACCATGGTTTTCAAAAATGGACCGGACCGGAAAAACCAGGAATCGGCCAAGTGACCAGTTCTATTTTTCCCCAAAATTGGATTTTTGCCAAAAATCGTTGACCCGTGCAGTTGAACAGTTCGACCCAAGAACCGGACCCCTGACCAGTTTGTTGTCCGGGTCGGTTTTAAAAACTTTGGTTTTGATTCTCAATGGGTTGGCTTTGGGTATTACTCAAATCCAAATTCGATCCAATCTTTTTACAGCCTATCCAGAGAGTCCCCTGTCTATGAGTTTTATTATCTAAAACTCACATGATATTAGATTTTCATCAGGTTAGTGTTGGTATTATTAATAGAAGTAGTGCACATAAACATTTAAGTATTTTACATGACCACCAAACTACCCTTAAATGGCCAATCAAGCTTATTAAATATTTATATGACAAAATTACCCATGACTTGGGCCTGAGCCCACACCAGGCCTACAAATTTTATGGTCAGGCCTAGGTATAATACTTCAAGCCTGGCTTGGGCCCAGCCCAACCCACATATATTTAAAATACATATTTTATACATAATGTATATATTCCCACACCAGGCCTACAAATTTTATGGTTAGGCCTGGGCCTAATACTTCAAGCCTAACTTGGGCCCAGCCCAACCCACATATATTTAAAATACATATTATATACATAATGTATAGTTATGTATATATGTTATTTACTTAGAACCTGGGTTGGTCCAGGCATAGGCTATAGTGATTATCATAGGTACAAAGCTCAACCCAGGCCTGGCCGGGCCTAACTAATGATCACTCCTAAATTTAATTTATTCAATCCCAAATAAATAATGGAATATAATATACACATAATTATTATATATGGGCAATCAGGAATAATTTTATCATAAAAAATTTAGTAAGATTAATAGGCCATTCAGGGGTAGTTTGGTCATGTAAACTTCTATAAATGATAGCTAACAGTTATCTTAAGGAAATATGACAGAAGGTGAGCTTTGGGCAATAATCCGGCTTTCCATTTGGTTTGGTTCATAAAAATGGTCTAACTGAAACGCCAATTAGCTAGGTTCTTTTTTGTAACACAATTGAATTGAATCAATGGAATGAAGTCAAAATGGTGATGTGCTTGAATCATTCCTTTTTATAACATTTATTGAAAAGTTTTTACAATAAATGCTGGAAAGACATGGTATTTGAATAGTTCTGACCAATCAAAACCCACTAATGAATTTTGATAAATTCCATCTAATTGATTAACATGTTTATGATACCGGTTTATTGCTCACAAATTTCTTCAATCTATTTGCAAGTGTTCCTTCAATGTGGACTTAGAATTTTAATAGGCATCGTCCTACAATTGAGAGATTAATTGGTATATCTTTACAGCATCGCTATTATGGAAAATCAGTGCCCTTTGGTTCAAGGGATGAAGCCTTCAGAGATGCTAGCACACTTGGGTATTTCAGCTCGTCACAAGCTTTAGCAGACTATGCCGAGATTATTTTAGCCATCAAGAAGAACTTATCTGCAGAGAGAAGCCCTGTGATTGTTGTTGGGGGATCTTATGGTGGGAGTAAGTAAATGCAAATGAACTCAATTTCACATATATAGTTGTTTGATCACCACTATATCATCAATTGCAAGAAAACGTCTGTTGTGAGGTCATTACATCTTTCTTAAATTTATTGCAAATGCTGGTGTATTTGTTTCTGATCACCACTATATCATCAATTACAAAGAAACATCTGCTGTGAGAGGTGTCATCAGTATCTGTGATGTCTTGAATTCATTGTAAATGCTGGTGTGTTCACAGCAGATGGGAATTCATCAATTGCTTTATTATTCATTGAAACCCTTTTTATTTTTCAGTGCTGGCTGCATGGTTCCGCCTCAAATATCCACATATTGCTCTTGGGGCATTAGCATCATCAGCACCAATTCTCTACTTTGATGACATCACACCTCAAGATGGATACTACTCTGTTGTCACCAAGGATTTTAGAGTACGTCATCAAATTCGGTTAGTTTAATCTTCAGTAATGAAATTATAATAAGATGTCAAATGGTAAAGGAATGATTTAACTTAAAAGCTTAAATTGTTAGATGAGGTCCCTCAATAACAAATGGGATTTCATGTTCTGTGGACGGTGCAGGACGCAAGTGAAAGTTGTTATAATACCATAAGGCAGTCCTGGTCTGAGATTGATAGAGTTTCCTCTGAACCAAATGGGCTTTCAATACTTTCAAAACAATTCATGACTTGCAAGTAATTGAATTCAACCTTCATCTTTTTCCTCTTATTAATCCCTGACTTTAGATTTTGAAGTTGTGTGTTATTTGTTTGCTTGCTTAATTGTCTACTAGCCCAATAACCTCAGCTTCCCAGCTCAAGGACTACTTGGAGTATATGTATTGCGAAGCTGCCCAATATGCTTTTCCTTCAGATGACTCGGTTTTGAAAATTTGCAATGCCATTGATGGAACCTCCAACAACACCGATATTATTGGTAAAGTTGTTGCAGGAGTTGTTAGTTACAATGGAAACTCGTCATGCTATGATTTAAATGCATCTAATAATCCAAGTGATAGCGATGAAGAAACTGATGACGGGTGGGATTGGCAGGTATTTTCTCTTTTTCATCATCATCATCAGAATCAGTATCTCGTTGCACTGTTTTAAGGCTCGGCCCAGACCGGGCAGTCGGACCATGGAAATGGGAACCAGTAGCCTTTCCGGGTCTCAGTTGAATGGTGGTTTTGGCAGGTTGGATAGGCAAATCGTCCAATTAACCAGTCAAACTGAGACCCAGAGAGCATTCCATTTTTACTCTCGTCCGAATCTTAAAATACTGATTAATAAGTGGACTCTGAAACTTTTTTATGAGAACCTAACAAATTCTGGGGGGTTTTCTCCAATATGAATTGCTTTTCTTGTATTGAATTGCAAAACCAAATTATAACACTTTGGTTTGAAAACAAAGTGGTTCATAAAACAAAAACACAAGAAACATGTTCTTGGTTGTAGATGTGTTTTTGTCTAGTGATTTGATATCAAATTACATATATCGTACAATATCTATACTTAAAACTTTGTCTTTTGAAACAAAACCAATTTCTTTGTTCTTCCCGAATTAAACAAAATTAAAATGCAGTTTAAGAATCATCATCCAAGCCTTATCCCGATTATATACATGAAATTTACTACATGAATCCTGTTTCAGCATTAAGTTTTGTTTAATAACAAATGAATACTACTAATCTTAGCATCATATTATTAATTAAAGTAGACATGTAGTGAGATGGTAATGCCCATGGGCCGCGGTAGCAATGACACTATGTTTGAAGCAGCACCTTTTGACTTAGAGGCATTCATCCAAGGCTGCAAGAGTGCTTATAGTGTCAGCCCTAGGCCTCATTGGATCACGACTCAGTTTGGTGGCCATGTAAGCTTCTCTCTCTCTGTCTTTCTCCTCTCTGCCTGTTTTATCTCAAATGCATTCATACGTCGTTGTTGTAATATACATTTCAGGATATTAAATTGATCCTTGAGAGGTTTGGAAGTAACATCATATTCTCAAATGGACTCAGGGACCCTTACAGTAGCGCAGGGTACAGAGTAATACTTTATATATATGCCCTTCTTCATCCAAAGCTGAGATTAATTTGTTCAAGCAAGACATTTACTGGGTTTTATTTCCTTTTTCAGTGTCTTGACAAGCATATCAGACAGCCTTTTAGCCATATATACAAATGAAGGTAAGTCTTTGGCCCCTCCTTTAATTTTTAGAAAGATGGTTTTTGATAAAGGAACCATGACTTGGTAAAATTCTGATTTTGGAAATGATGAAGTGTCAATCATGGAACACATTCAATGACCTTCTAGGCTAATGTATTTGAAAGGGTAGGTTTTAGGGTCATTTATTAGAATATTCCCTATAGTTTTACAGATCTATTTAAATCTATCCTATAGTTTTTATTTTACTAAAACACCCCATATAGTTTGCAACCTGTTTACCTTTCACTAAGAACTAAGAACTGCTTGTTTTACCATCTTAAAATAGTTATATGATCACCTAAACTAATCAAAAAATGTTCAAGGGCATGGCCCATGGTTGCTTATTCCAAAAGTACCCCTTACACTTCATACAGAAAACAATATTGATCAAATAAAGCCGAATAGAAATGTTGTTCATGTCTTACTAGTAAGGGTGTCAATGGACCGGTTTTGGATTGAACCCCATCCGGTTCAAAATCAATTTGGATGGATTGGACAGACCAAAAAGGCATATTGAATTGGACCAATCCAGTCCAAAATATTTATTAGATTAGATTGGACCTGGTCCATCCGTAATAAATTTATATTGGATTGGGCTGAATTTAGCCAATATCTGGTCCATTGGTATAAGATAAGAATATAGGTATCAATGGACCGAATTTGGATTGAAACCAATCTAAATTAAAACAAATTTAAACAGTTTGGACGGTCCAGACATTGAATTGGACCGGCCCAAAATATTTATTGGATTGGATTGGACCTGGTCCATTTGTAATGGACTCACATTGGACCAAATTTTTATTTTATTTTCTTTTGATTAAATTTATTTGAATGGACATTAGAATTAAAGATGTCATTTTCCTCTTTCATCTAAGGAAAGATTGATTAAGTAGATGGATTACAAATTATAGGATAGGTCTTAGTAAATCCATGAAACTGTATGGGGTGTTTTAATAAATTAACTTAGGTTTTAAAACTCAACACATGTTCTGTATTGTAATGCAGCACAGTGTATTTCAAAGTGTCAAAATTATTTTAAAATATAAATATTTTTTGTCAAAATATATACTAATGTTTTTTTTTATCAGTTTTAAGATTAGAACAAGACAATATATTTTGCATTCAAGAACCAACCACAACCCATTCTAGAACAGAAGGAAATGAGCATCAACAACTGTGCCAGACACTCCCTTTGTTAGAAGCCTCCATTAACAAAAGCTTGTTGTTTGCAGGATGTCATTGCTTAGATATAGTTCAGTCATCACCAGATGATCCGAATTGGTTAGTCATGCAACGACGTAGAGAGATCGAAATCATCTCGGATTGGATCAAACAGTACTACGCTGATCTTGCTGCAAATCATTGATGTAACAATTGGATGATGGAATTAGTTTAAACTTAATTAATATAATTATTATTACTTAGTACAAATTTGATAAATTGAAATTAGGGAAAATCTATCATGCCGAAAAGAAATGATACTAGAAGAACATTTATCAATTAAAATCCCTGTGAATTTTGATAAATACCACTAATTGATTAAAACATTTATGATATAAGTTGATTGGTCACAAAATTTTCAAATATCATCATAGTAAAAAACAACACTAACCCCTCTCTCTCTCTCTCAATCAACAATAACATGTAATAAAAGAAATCTCTTGCCACAGCTAAACCTTCTAAGAATGCTTTCATTTCTGCCATTTCCGCTGAACATACATCAAATGGAACCGCACATACGAACAGGAATCTACTATGCTCATCCTCATTATAATATTCGCCAAGTTTTTAAAATCGATCCGGAGACCRAACCGGTCAGGGCACTGTTTTCTAGTTCGGTGGTTTAACCGTTTATCGTCTAGGTCAAATGGTTCGACCTGTGATGTTATAAATAAATAAAAAATAAAAAAATTTCTATATAATAAAAAATACCATAAAAATTTAAATAAAATACAAAAAATACACGGAAAAATATAGGAAAAAGAACAAAATGAACTAAGCAATGTAGTAACTGAGTAAAGAATTAAAAAAAAAAGCAAGATTAATTAAACAAAGAATTAAGTAAAAAAATTCAAAAAATCAATTAAATCACAAAAAAAAAATCAGAAAAAAACATTATATCTTCAGGGTTTCACTACCGAGTGCTGGTAATGGTGGTGTGACAGTGGGGCTGCAAAGGCTGCAAGCCTGCAAATGCTGCTCCAACTCGCAGACAGTGGGCTTGGTCGCCAATGCCCAATGCCGAGTGTTGAGTGCTGTTGTAAACTTGCCCGGACAGCCACTGCAAGCTCGTTGTCCGTCGCTGCAAGTCGCTGCTGCAAGTGCTGGTGAGTCTTTCTGCCGCTGCAAGTTCATCGGTCACCGTTGGACGCCGGAGGTGCTGGCCACTGCAGGTGGTCGGTCGGTAGGGTGTGAGGGTTGAGAGGAGGGAACTCAGGAGGGTTAGAAGTTCTAACCCTAAAGCTAAAGGGAGTAAGGGATTCGAACTGGGTTGGGGATATAAAAGGTATTTTATTTTTTGTTTTTTTATTTAAAACATTGAAAATAAAAATACTAACCTGTGAACCACTGCTGGGTCGAACAATTTAATGATCYGACAACCTGGATCAGCGGTTTTCTAACCTTTTTAACGTTTTTTAACAATTTCCGATTTTTAGTAAAACTGGACCCAAGGGACTGACCGGTTGCAGGTTTTTCCGATCCAACCATCCGGTCCGGTCCAATTTTTAAAACCATGATAATTGCTTAACAGCGAGCAGTAGCCATGGCTCCATCCACATTGACTTTGGCAAATCCAGTTTGGTGGCTTTTGTTAGCTGAGATGAGTCTACAATCTAATTCATGTAGCAATAAAACCTCTACCTCTTTATTAATTTAGCTTAATAAATCCTTGTCGAACCTTATGGCAAGATGCAAATCAGCTGGCTGATTGGTAAGGTTTTCTGCTGGTGGTAGTGGTGATTTGGGATTGAATCCCACATGCATCTGGGTTGGGGGATTTATGAGATAGGGGATGGGCTACCCCGTTGTGTAGCCCATCAAAAGAAATCGAAAATAAATTAAAAAAAAAAGAAAAACTTATGGCAAGATAAAATCTAGTTTATTTTAAAAAAGCAGTCAACCCAAATCAACTCTCAATCAAATTATTTCTGTTATAAGAATTTGACTCAAACTTGGGTCATACCAATATAACTACCCATTAATTAGCGAACCTTTTTTTTTTTGAGTAGCCATAGGATGGTTATCTTGCTACAGTGCCTAATCTCACATTCKTAATTGATATATAGTTGAATCGGTCAAAGTCCAAGGCAAGCAATAGTTTTACAACAATCCAATTTACACCCTAATGAGAATGGCAACTGGGGATGAGCATGCCCAGCTGGGGTCGGTTCTAACTTGTAAGGTTTTGGAATCAAAATCTGGTCTGTCAAGGTTGATTCTGGTGTTTACCTTTGGAATCTATTCTTTAAAAAAATAATAATATGCTATTTTTTTTCCCTTCAAGCTTTGGCCTTGGATGACAGCATATCACGCACACACATTCGGAATTYAGTTAAATGTAATTTCAGTGCAAATAAAATACAATACACAATCTGAAAGTTGTGACACAATCAACCCAAACAATAAGAAATAATTAATRCAGATTCCATCATTCAAATCCATATGCTACGTTCAAATTACATCAAAAGCCAAAGCTAGTTCTTCAGGTTGGTTTGAATAGGGTGAATTAGTCTGAGTGGCGTTGGTTTGAAGAATTTGGAATTGGACCCTACTCAAAAACCAATTTAAAATTGGTTTGAGGTCAGTTCCAATTGGTTCTGAGTAAAACTAGCTTTTGTTTTTGTTTTTAAATTAGCTCATTTGCTTGCCCCCAACTGGGGTGCAAGTTTGTGGGCTAGGCTGGTCAACCTGAGTCTAAATTTAAGATTTGGATCTATGGCCTGAGCCTGATCTTTCCAACCTGAGCCCAACCCACCTTGAAATTTGATACACTTGAATTGGGACGTTTGGATATATATGGTTGGGTGGGCATGGATTTGGACAAGTTCGAGTTGTGATGTAAGATGGGTTATTGAACAATTTCTTTAAGTCCATTGCAACAAAGGAAAAAAAGAGAAGTCCAAAGAAGTGATAATACTTTAAATGGCCATACTAGAAGAAAAACAACCCAAGGCGGCGGTTGTATGACCACCAGCTTAGGGCTAAGGACTGCCACCTTTACTCCACCCCTTAAGCAGCTGCTGGCTTAGATCAAGACCGTCAGCATGGATAGCAAAGACTGCCGCGCTTGATGACAGATCTAAAGTGTTTCAATGATCTCTACAGGTGGTATGTCAGAACCGCCGACTTAGCTTTAATAAACGTGACGGTTGGCTGATGGAAACATGTCATTTGTAGTGACATTGTGCTGGTTAAGCTAGGTTTCATGTCCCAGGAGAAGTCCAAAAATATCATCAATACTAAACTAATCAGCATTTGGTCTATTGCTGATAGTAGTGACCAACGATTCATATTCAACACCAAGACCAGAGACAACATACAATATGAGACTGGTTCTGCCACATCAAAGAGATTGTCAACAATAGATTTAGCCTTCTAGACGTACTCATCTATACTCTGATTACCCTTCTTTAGAACTTGCACTTGGTGGCACAACTGGAGCACTCTGACATGAGATTGATTTGCAAAGGAGCAAGCAAGATCATTCCATACTTCTACAGCAAAGGAGAGGTCAATAACTTGGGCCAACACTCTCTCGGTCAAAGAGACAATCAACCAGTTGAGCACCAATTAATCGAGTTGTGGCCATGAAGTGTATTTAGGATTTGTGATCATTTTGCTGCTATGTCAATAACCATGTGGCTTTTGTTAGGAATTGGGGTCATGGAAACTTGGAGGAGTAGATTTAAGGCATGTCTAAAGACACTAAAATTATTTGTCCCCACTCAATTTTACTAAGTTTGTTGTTGGGTTAAGAAAAATTTGTTCCCAGGATACAATAGAGCATTGGGCAAAAATCTATAGCCAGTAAAGTTGAAGAGTCTCTAAACAAACCTTCTGTGAGACAATAGAAGATCAAACTGAGAGAGACAATAATGATTTTTTGAAAACTTGTGTTCATTTGCTTGATCCACACTTCTTAAATAATTCCTAAGGAGTCATGGAGCAAAGAAAGGTGCTAGATCAATTGGGTAACGTTTCAATCCCCGTAGCTTGGTACCTAGGATCCTATATTGTGAATGTTGTTAAGTGCAAACCTACACATCAACCAAGGAAATTCTGAGAAACACATACTGTATCAGAAAATCCAATTTATTGCGAAGGTAAGGCTGGATTCATCCAGTTGATTTTTCCTGCAAGTAAAGCAAATATGAGAATAATCGATGAAAGCAGTGGAGTTAATTGGAGAAAACCAAGGGAAATGGGCTTAAACTAGAGCACTTCATATTTGGGGGGAACCATAGAATCATAAAGCAACAAATATAAAGATATGTTACAAACTACAACTGCGAGTCTTCGAGAACAAACAAACTTTCCCGTTAAACCCTAAAAACTCCAGTTAGGGTTACAAGTTCGGAAGTTCGTTAAAGCTGTCATGCAGTGGCTCAACTAGTTTTTTATTATGTGATATTTGGCATGAGATCACATTAGCGAGCTCGGAAGTTGGTTAAGGCTGTCACGCAGATGCTCGACTGGTTTTTGATTATGTGGCATTTGGCATGAGATCACATTAGCGCCCCACAACAACATAAATAATTCAGTATATATATATATTAAAACAAGAAACTATTAAAAAGTTTTCTTTTTTTTTGAATTTTTTAATTTTTTTATCCATATTAATTTTTAAACTATCAATTAAAAACTCTACTTTCCCTTAAAAAGACCTTCCTAAAATATCTCTCTCCCACACTTCCAATAACCTAAATAATCTAATATCTTAAAGTTTCTCCTAACCTACCTCCACCGCTATCCTCAATTTTCTCCTATATTATCTCTAATCTAGTAGAGAGTTTCTCTCCTAAATTATCTCTAATTATTATTTATCTTCTCCCCCACCTTTTATCTAGATCAATGCAAAGAAATTTTGAATTAAAAATTTTAAAAATTATTTAAATATTCTAAAAAAATTATATAATAACTTTAAAATATTTATTAAAAAGACAAAAAATAATTATAACCGATTTAATAATATTCATATTATTAATAATTATATATTTTTACGAATTTCATCACAAAATTATGTACAAACAATATAAGTTATAATTTTTTGGATTATTCAACCTAAATGTTATTAAAATAATAAAAATCTAACACTAAAAATGAAATATTATTTAAATATTTCAATAACTAAATATCTTAAATAAC